CCCCCCCCCCGTAAGGGGGATGAAATGTTTCTTGGTATATCGGGACAGGATGCAATTGCTGATCTTACTGATGCTCCCTGAGGTTGCTATGGAACGAAGAAAATGTTTTTCTCCATTTAACGCATAAATCTCGTCGATGGCGGTAGGACGAGTGTGTGGTACCTACAGGGTGGCATTGTTCCTAAGTGATGTAACTGCGTCTTATTGTATTTGTATCCTGTATCGCATTGTTAAGAGTCTCTCGCCACAAAGCGTAAGTGGTTTTGGCGGAAGCCACATTCAGTGGTTGGATTGTGTCAGCCCCTACCACCATCACCACTACTATTGCCATCGCACCCCTGCCAGGAGCGTGCGAACAATATAGAACCCCTTCGGCATAACTCTCCTCGAGCTGTGCAGATAATATATCCAGCATAGATCCGTTTTATCGTCAGACAATAATCTGTGTAGAACAAAGTAAAGGTTAGCGATGAAAATTGAAGTGCATATAAAATCCAAAGGAGACTACGGAGTAAGTGAAAAATTTAGGTACCTCCAAAGCACCGTTTTTCTTTTAGACTGAAATAATAAGTTACCGCGAACGGAGTATACACGGCTATAGAACACGGGGGTGTGAGCCATATATATGGGATAAAGTGGATGAATCCCTTAGCTTAGTGGCGAGTGCCGAGGGTCGTAGCCCAGAGGGTTGTTCTATGGAGCTGTACTCGCTCTATTGAGGGCTGTTCAGCTCTATTGGGGTGATAATGTTACGAATTAGCGAGATTTCCACTTCTACGCTCTCCCGGGGTCGGAACACCCATTGCTCAGGAATTAAATAAATTCTCAGTGAGTACCTAAATAACTACCTACGCCAATGCGAACTGGTCGTTTCTGCTTATACCACAGAGAGATACCTTAACGATGATATCCAGCCCATTGAATTGCACCGATAATTTCTGGGCTGGTTTTTATTGCGCTTGGTAATATTCATCATCGTGGCGCCTGGTTCCTACTTTGGTAGCTATCCTGCCTCTTGACCGATACCGGAAGTGATTTAACGTGGGGAAAAAGTCGAAGCTATCGATCGGTAACAATGTGACAAATTAAACCGGTGCGGACCCTACGTTAACGCTAAGTGCAATCCTGGTCAGAGGGTTCGGTTTAATCTATCAATCACGAGGATATATGCCTGAGGAACGGTCAAGTGGTTAACTGTGTAGCGTCAGTCAAATCAGGGACTCGCTAACCGCTTGAAAACCGCGGCTAAACCTTCGTGAAAAGCTACGCTTGACGCCGTACGAGTGCGTTCGCGAGCCGCCATAGTGCCTTTCACTTGGAAGATTTATGGGGTGAGAAAAGGACCTTGGGACACATTATTCTCTCCTCTTTTTTCCTGTGCCGTATTTCCTGAAAAAGAAAATCAAGGCTAGAAACGACGAAGGACGGGGTTAAAATTTGGTTAAAGGGAAAAGAGAAAAAAATCTAAGACAATTTTGACTATCATAATTCTGTGTGCCACCTACCTCCTTAACACGGGGTGGTGCGTAAACGTGACGCTCAAGAGCGTCCCCTCTTCTTGTTTTTTTCTTTTTGTCGAGGGAGGGTGCATCGGCATCCCGGCAAGAGAGCTCGCATCGTTCCATAATGGATTTATTATTGCAGCAAATAAATTCCTCCCCGTAACGACCCTAATAGAGTAACCATGGCGTGGCAAACAAGATCATCCCTCCTAGCCCATAGACTATGTAAATATACGAGTGCACTGAGAGAGCCATAATACGCCGTATGGGGTGACTTTATATTCGAATGGGGTGCCGAACGGAATTAGCTTACTCCATACTGCCATTCCACAATTTCCACACCCTTACGCTGTCGGACGTGGCCTGCCCTCTCACTCACCCTTGCAAGCCATGCCATGCAGCTTCTTGTTTTCCAGAATAAGTGTCTCAAAGTCGTTCTGCAGAGCGTTCGCGGCAGCCCCCGAACTGGAATGTTTGGATAGAGGACCAAGTAGTTTGTCCAGCACGTCATTCATATCCTCCTGCTTGATCCTGATCCTCCTAGACTCCAGCATCCGGACGAACTCAACTTCAGAAGGCGTCAGGAAGATCGTGGCCGAGCCTGCTGTACCAGCACGTGCCGTTCTGCCAATCCTATGGACATAATCCCTTGCGGAGACTGGTCCCGTGTACTGGACGACGCAGTCCACCTTAGGCATGTCTAGCCCACGTGCTGCGACATCCTGAAAAATGAAAGCACCCGGTGGAATGATTAGAAAGGTCACACCGGATATGGGAAATCGGTGTAAGCCTAGAAAGGTCATTTTCAATGAATATTTCACACGGGGACCAAGCTGATCGTCATACCGAGGACTCCTGCGAAAAGGTTCTCTGAGCTCAAGATGAAGGATACGTGTAAGGATCCTGATGGTTAATAGCAGGAGCAGGGCGGGCTGCTCATACAAATGTGTTACAAACCGAGACCTGGGTATCGTCGTGTTGTAGGAACGATCCTCGAGCATGGACGTGGCTTGTACGACGCCCGCTGCGGACCCCAGCGGTGAACGTTTGAGCGGTGCCCCGTTCAGCATCCACTCTATGTTTGGATAGCTAATGATTTAGTACCGTAGGCACTTGAATTTCTACTTGATGCCCGTAGAAGAGGCCGAGAGCCGATGGGGGGTGGCGCACGGGGCCGAAAATTCTTTCACGGAACGATATATATTTTTGTTCCTCTTATCAAATTAATTCAGTCGTGGTGGGTGCTGGGGCGCCGCGAAGTCGTTCACCGCCAGTGATCATGAGCCGATCCTTGAGAAACGGGTTCCAACCTCATACCATTGACGATGGCCATATAGCCGGGCGTCGCGACGTCGAGGATTGGGCTGTACATTGGTAGTACCATGGAACCCGACTGTGACAGTCACCGTAATATCGACGTCAAGCAGCCGATCGATGACGTCGATTAAGCTGAACGATCGTTTATCGAAGGATCCGCCGATCCCAGATATCAGAAACGGATAACCGTTCAAAACGTCTCACTCTGTCTATAGATCATCCTCTGGTAGTGGATCTGGTTAGACACCATCATAAGCACCATGAGGCCATTCCGTTCTTAGCTATGGCTGGTACGTTTCAACATAGAAATTAATAACGAGCCTGGTATCAGGTTAGACTGGGTGAAGTATTACTCTTGGTAAGAAGTGGCCTGTTTCCATCGAAAAGTTCTCTCGCTCCCTGTGGCCCACGCCTCCTAGAAACCCCATAGGATCGTGTACGGATGCAGTTTCTGCGTTATTTATGCCCAGTCGAAATGCTGGGAATGGAATCGAGAAAACGTTATACGATAAAAGAAGTGCCTACGCATCTCTATGGGGCGTCAAGGTGTACCCCATGTACATTTCTAGGTGTACCGGGTCTCTCTTCGGTACAGGAACTTCAGGACGTCGTCCTAAGAGAGCTTCACGGTACTGGCCATTGGTGTATATCTATGGGAAAAATAAAAGTATCGGATGAAACGTTCCAATTACTCTGCGGGAGATCGAAGGGCTATCGAATGCCCAAACTCTGGTGAAGCCTTCAAGAGTGGCGTGGAGGACGACAGTAATCTTTAATGTCCAAGTGTCCACTATATTGCTATGGTCAATGGGATGTCTAAACAGCCAGGAAATTCGAAGGTGAAGCGTGCCTGACACATGGCAGAGTATTATTTCACCTATAGTCCAATGACGTTCTCAGTCCTGGATGCCCATTGGTCCCACACGACAGGGTTCCAAGGGAAAGAGAATAAGACCATCTTCACTGGGCCAGTTTGGTTTGGTTTGGGTCCTTTCTAGCATGAAATTCGAATCGGATCGATGAACCGCACTTCTCGTATCGACCGTAGCTCCACAGACTGGATCATGTTCTGATCAATGAGAGTCTCACTTCGGGACCAATCCCTGAAGTTTCTTCTATGGGTTTCCAAGCTCTAGTTTCTAGGGCCGTAATCGTCTCCTGGTTGCTGTCAAGATCGATTTGTCTTCGAAATAAATGTCACAAATGTCCGACACGGGTTTATACCTTTAACCTGGCATTTAGACGTAGATCTGGATGCCGAGTCGAAGGATCTTCATCCTGAAGTTTCTTCACCATAAACTATTTCTGTTTCTCTTTTCTTTCCTTTTTATCACTGGCCCCACTGAAAACCATTGGAATTTCTTAACACGCACTGACGTTCGCAGCGATTTAAGGCTGCAAAAGAAAATTAGAAAAAAAAAAACAAAAAAAAACGTATCAGTATAAAACCACGAGAATACCGAAATTGAAGCAGAGGTGTAGAACCAAAAGAAATTGACTATGTGACAAGCGGGTACCATTATGGTGGACTATTTGTCGCGGACCCCCTGCCAGGCATAAAATTGCCCCAGGTGGAATGGAACCGGCCTGATTTGCCTGCGTAACTACCTCTATAAACGAAGGCGAATAATACGGAGAAAAACGAAGTAATACAAAAACGAAGAATGAGAGAATAAAGAAAAAGCCACCTCGAGCCGTCAGGACGATAACCAAGTGTCGAAATGCTTCCTCGTACAGAGAGCCCATGAAGAAGGTGTAATAACGAGCTAATCGTTTCTCCTTAACGGTCCAGATCCATCCGGTAGCCTGTGAATGCTTGATGATCTATTAAAAAATTTGGTCCATATTTAATTTTTTTAAATCCTTGAAACCTGAATATCCGTATTAGCGTTTTTTGCAGTCCGTGTGATTTCCTTCTGAAATTGAAGCAAGTTACAATCAATTGTGGGTGGGTTATCGGTTATAGGATAATTATACTCGTTACGAGGCCAGTGATGCGTACACGCATAATTTTAAAGCCGCGTGCGCAGCGTGGGTCCCGAGATATTAAATTCCGTTGAGAAAGAATAAGCCACGGGCTAATTTACAGCGCTGGGTGTGCCGGCGGGTTATCCGCCAAGAGATTTCGTCGGTTCGGCCTTTTTATCATATTGTTATTGTCGCTGCCGTTGTTGTTATTAATTTTTTACGATCGCGGAAGCGACACGTTGCAATGTATATCCGTTATTTATTACCTACCTGCGATTACTTATTTATTTCCATTTGTTCTTTTTTTTTCCTTCTGCTTTTTTTTCCTTTCATCAACCGGCACGTGTATACGATATATGTGTATATATATCTACATGGATATATATACACGCGTGGCCGTTATTTACCATTGCGATCCTATTATTTATTGGAACAGGACTCGTAGGTAACCTCACCCCTATGCGAAAAGACGAAGAAAGGAGCCAGCCTCGTATTTCACGGCTCTTCATCATTCTCTCATAAGTATCCAGCGGAGAGCGACGAAACCTCCGTACGACTAGTAATTGAGACTCGAATTTGAATATTTAAATGCCAATGGTATGGGCAGTGCCGATAAATGTTATGAGAGTATAGATAGATAATGCGATTAATTATTGCCAATAGACTTTGTACATTGGGTCATGATGAATGATATAAATACAGAAGCGGGAATGTCTTGTGGTTCTTTTTTTTTTTCAAAAGGAATGTGATACCATAAATGAACTAACGAGGTCGTCTCGGCCAACACCTTATTCTGTAATACGATTGGCTGGTATGGTCGGCAGGCATGGTCGTCGGCAACTCAGCGTTTTTATTTTCGAATTGGGCTACCGATTTTGCCCAACAATGAGCCTCCCATTATGCGGCTGGTGAATGCAATTTTCTCGTATAATCATTGCAATTAAAGTGGCGACAATGGGCGCGAGAACGCCGGGGGGTCGCCTTCCGAAAAGCGGAGTCATTAAAATGTACGTTAACACACTTGAGAGGGAGAGAGAAAGAGAGATAAAGAAAGCGGAAGACTGCAGTGAAATAGAGAGAGAGAGAGAGAGAGAGAGAGAAACATAAAGAGAGAATCGAGTCGACGGTGCTGCCCCAAAATCATACATTGGCGTAGGATCCTTAAACGTTCATATAAGTCGAATGATAGATCGATTTTTAAACCTTACCGTGCATAGTAAAACGCCACCGCGCGCCTTGCGAAAAGTTTTGAAAACTTCGGTACGTTCCTTCTGACTCATGTTTCCATGCAATTTGAAGAACTCCACGTCAACGAGAGGATCCGAGTCTTCGTCGTCTTCGTCCGTTGGTTTGGTTAGGATGGATGATAGGATTTCCATGTGATAGTCCACCATGTCCTGGGTAGCCATGAATACGAGGAGCTTGTGCTGTCCTGATGACTGTCAGAAAGAGTAAGAGATCTTTTATCACATATTACTAGCGAAGGAAAGCCATAAAGGATAACGTTACGTCTTATTAAAGCATGGTGGTACTAACTCGACATTTGCCGGCTATATATGCGCTCAAAGTTACCATACGTAACTTTGGCGGCGTCATGATATAACTTTGCGTCACGCTTTGAGGTACTATAAGATCCTCATTAAGCTCGCTCAAGCTACCGCCGGAAGTTAGGAGATTCTCCTGAGCCGCGTCGATAAAAATCGGATTCTGCATTGTCAAACCGGCAAGCTTTTCCACGGCTTGGGTTAACGTAGCCGAGAGTAGAATAGTCTGTCTACCTTGAGTGTCAGTAGTCACCGATTCTGCATCTTTTTTGGGTTCAGATTTGATTTGACGAGTCGGTTCTGCGGTTTTTTGACATTTTTTGTTTATTCGGATTGGAAACTTTTGATCTTCTGCATCACTATCAGTATCTGTGCCCGAGTGATATTCTTTTTGCGATATATTGTTGGTCTCTGTTTCTTCATTAGAATCCGAAAAACCGTCTTTTTCTGATTCAATATTTTTACTTTGAATTTTGGATTCGTTTTTCTTAGTTTCATCGTCAGTCTCGTTATCAGTATTCGCCGTGTCATCTCCAAAAGTTTTTTTTACGTTCTGACGTAACATTTCCATTGGATTATATCCCGTAGCAGAACCCGTCAAATTCGAATTTTTTAAAGCGTCAACTATGCTAAATTGTCAAAGAGAATATACATTAAACAAAATTCTCAGTCTGTTACTACATGAAACTTACCTCGAAATGTCTTTTTCATATCCCATATCCAGCATCCTATCAGCTTCATCCAGTACGAAGCATTTGACCTGATCTAATTTAAGAGCTTCTGTATGTTTAACGTGATCCAATAATCTACCGGGTGTAACGATTAGTATAGTACAACCCTTTCGTAATCGGGCTTTCTCAGCTTTCCTTTTTTCACCACCTACCAAGTAGCCAGGTACGATCCAGGTAAAGGGCTAAAAGATTTTAATAGGATAACGGGTAGCATGTCTATTAGGAAGTCAGTAATGGCGTCAAGCGTTAATTAATGCAACTTACTTTAATTAACTTCAAGAAGCATTCGTAGGTCTGTAAAGCAAGTTCTCTTGTTGGTACTACTACGAGAGCTCTTAGGCCGGAATCTCTCGTTAATTTTGGTCGGATTTTATGAAGGGTTTCAATTATTGGTATGGCGTAGGCTAATGTTTTACCTGACCCAGTTTGTGATCTGACTAATACATCTTGGCCTGATAATATTTGCGGAATAGCCTTTTGCTGCACAGTAGTCATTTTTGTAATTTGCATGTTTTGTTCTAAATTGGACACCTAATTAAATAGTCGTAATTAGATTTTTGCACAATGAATGTATCATTAATATTACATTAATGATAATGTAATTCTGTAATTACATACCGTGAATGGATGAATATCTAAATCGTCAAACTTTGTACCAGTAAATACAGGCTCATTTACAGGTTTAACGAATCTCTGACCAATGTTCGGCATTTCAGGATTGTTACTAAACAATGAGAAATATCTGCCACTGTATGATCTTGATGCTTGTTTATCATTTTTCCCAGTGAATTTTTTAGAATTATCCGTATTAATGTTTTTGTCTGGGTGCTTTCTATTCTTTTTACTCTCGTACTGTGATTTTATGTCACGGTCTGAATCAAAACTCCTTTTTTCATGATCCAACTTAGGTTTTTTGTTTGGTAAATTGTACTCATTGTTTTTGAACTCTTGATGAGAGTTCAGTAAGTTTGATTCAGTAGTATCGGAAGTAGAACTTTTTGAGAATATTTCAGACAATGACTTTTTCCCATCGTTGATTGTATTACTGCGCTTCTTAGCTAGAATTGTTTTGATGGAATTCTGTTTTGTTGGTTTAATAAATGATACAATAGCTTCACTTGAAGTAACATTCTCATTCTTATTGTGTTTAGAGTCAGACTGCCTTATAGTCTCTTCATTAGATGTAGACAATTTACTGTGAAGCTTAATGTTAAAATCTTGAGAAGTCTTATTCGTAAGATTTCCTTTCCCCTTCGATACATCGTGCTTGGCAGGAGTTACGTTAACAGAACCAGTCCCTTTCAAATTCCTGGCAACAATCGCTGCCAATGATTTTTGCTTGATTCTTTTTTTGAAATCAAATGCCTGTTTGTCGGATGGGTGTTTGGAATCAGTATTAACTACTTCAGTATTGCTATTACGTTTCACTGCATTTTTATTTAACCTTTTAACATGAGGCTTAAAAAATTCATTTTTACTCTGTCCAGTCTGCATCATAAAATTTTATCCCATAAACTAACAGTTCTCTCTACAATAAATAGGACCATGTAAAATCTTAACCTGACACTTACCTTTTTCGACGTGACAGCATTTGATCCTGAAGATATGTTCAAAGAAATATCCATATCTTGCACTGTCATTGATACAAAATCCTCAACAAATAAATCCACACCAAATAAATAGATCTAGTATACAGACACAATGTACACAAAAATTCTCAAGATTGTCATAACCTATAAGCACGTGTCATACGAAACCCACGACTGTATTACTGCGCATGGCCAATCTATACCCAGCCTGGAATGTATACTGAAGAATATGCTATAGCATTGTATGCATAGCCACATAGTCTAAGCATACTATAATTTAACTACATATAAGCAAAAAACATACAGCATAACAACCCACTAACAAAGTAGCCTATTAAAACTTCGTTAGTCTTTTTAATATTTTCCTGATTATTACAAATAAGGAAACAACAGTACTTGAAGCTAATCGAAAAAAATAGGCATGAAGCATATATATATATACATATATGTCGTTCCGTGATAATTCTGAAATGAAATGAAAATCCTTAAGACATCAAAAAAGTGAGACAACGAATTTCTTATGATTCATATCAACGCTTTGTCGAATAATTCCTACACAATACGCGTTCTCCTGCATTACATCATAAGTAAAACCGGACAAGGAACTCAATAAGAACGTCACGAATTAATATACGTATTTACTCTGGATCGCGGGTGTTTACATTTCTCGCAAACCATCACCTTGCTTAGTATCGTCCGGTGACGAAAAGTACGTGTATCGAGCACGGGACCATATCTTATAACTAGACGTAAATTGGCTTCACTTTAGAAGATTAGCCAGAAGTTTTGTGCCATGGAGAGAATTTGCTGTATGGGCCTAACGTTGGCCAGTAGAATAATTGGAATGATTGGCTTGGTAGGTTATAATTGTGAAGAAGTGTACTACGAATATTGATTGTGCATCGTCTTTCTTTTCTTTTTCGAACATCAAGACATCTTCCATTCTTCTGATAAATGTTCTGGTCAGTGATTTCTTTAGTAACCAAGAAGAAAACTTTTTTGCGTCCGCTATCGACTCTTGGATATTATTCGGATTGAATTGGACCCAACTAGTAAAGAATTCCGAGTTCAACAGACCAAGTAAGATAAATTTGATAATTTAATTAACTGCAAAGGTTCTCGGACTTTGTAGCTTAATTTATTTGTCAATATATTTTACAGCTGACTCCATTTTGTTGTGTTTTCTTATATACTCCTTGGCTTTCCTATGTGCGAGTGGATTGCTCATCTTAGGATCGATTTACGTAAGTTTGAAATTAAAAAAACAAATATCTACTGACAAGAATTTTATAAGAAAATATTTCATTTTATAGAAAAAAAGATTTTACGCGATGCCTTGGCTCTTCCTGGAACTTATCAGTATTACAGATCAATTTGTAGCACTTATTGTACTATTGACACAGGACATTGATAGTGAACTTTTTGATAGTTATCCCTGGTATACACCACTCTCCAGTTTATGTTTGCGTAAGTCAGATTGTATAATCGTACAGTGATTATATTTATTCCACAAAAAAATTAACTTCCTGATACATTGTAGTAATAAGCGTATACTTTTGGATGACGGTGTACAACGCTCAAAAAGAATGGTATTTGAATTCAATCAATTCAAGATGGAACAGTGATCCCAATTGCATCTCCACAGTAACGGTAATCAATACGCCAAAGACGCCATCGGTTCTAGCACAAAATTTTTCATTATTCGAATCGCCATTGCCACCTGTGCTGCCAAAATACGATGAGCTCTGAAACGAGCAGTTCCTACAATATTAGGTACAGGTAAACAAAAGAATGAGAATGTTTCGATTTCATTTAACAATTCAGAGTATTAATATCGCATTTATTTGTAATAATTATATTTTAGATCTGACAATATAATTCATCGAGCCAATTAAGTATTGTATTCATATCTATTAGTTTATGTGAAAGCCAAATAAAGAAAGTATTTCTGTATGATATAGTTGTATACATATAGCTTTTATGGAAAATCATGTATGAAACGAATATGCAAACTCGCCAATACCAATGAGCAATGACTCTCTTGGCTTCTCTCAATCTCGTAGAAACATGGGGGAAAATGTTACGGTCCTTATAAATCAGCCCTGAGATGCGACTAATAGCGTGTATCAAATGCGAACTCGGCGAAGCGTGTCTGCATAGAAAATATGAGAAATGATCGCGTTTACGTCAAAACACTTTTAAACTCCCCGGATTTCAATTGAGCTCCGGCATATTCTATACGAAGTGGACTGGCTCCTCTATGCCAGTAACACTAGTAGTAGTAACACTAGTGGCAGTAGTAAATAGCAGTAGCTGTACATATATACAGTCCTGTGGCGGAGACACGATTTGTCTGAAAATAGCTCCAACTTCCGCGATACTTTCAGGGATAATGGTCAAGCATACAGAACACGTATGAAGAAGGCACTTGCTAAAATTTATTGGAACATTTCTTGGCAAGACTGATTACTCCATATTGGACAATTGCGGATAATTTATTATTCAGTATGGTCATATACGGTAACCGTATTAACTTTACTAGGATATGGTAGTCTGGAGGGAAAAATTAAATAATAAATGAAATAAAAATAAAAAGATTTATAAGAATAAAGTATTTAGCGGTAGTGGGTAGACAGCGCTATGTTATCAGTAATACGATTATTATTTTTATTAAGACAAAATAATACGGCTGCCGTTCGAGGGTACAAACTTTGTCAAAATTCATAGCCCGATACACCCCTCCCCAACCACTTTCTCTCTCTCTCTTTCTCCTTCGTACCAACTCCTTTGCTCTCCTCAAAAAGAATCCACGAGGGGGTGGCTTTATCAGCGGATGGGGTGGTCAGGGTGAGAGGGGGTCGTCGGCAACGGCTCCGTGGTTGGTTGGTGGCGCTTTTAAAAAGAACTGAGCGAGCCAATTTGTAGGCTGTCGCAAACTTTTAAAACACTAGTTGACAGCCAGCCCCTGGGCCACCCCTGGGCCACCCCTGGGCCACCGCCCCTGAACCTCATGGGTTCCGTATTCCTCCATCCCGTGGAAAGCAGCCCTCTGTGTCGCGGGAGCCGATGGATTGTAAAATAAAACTAACTTGGCTCTTTCGTGGCCGGGACAGAGAGTAGGTACTGGCTAAATCTCATTCCCGCGAGACTTTTTTATTCCGCCATGCTGACTACGACCCCCATACCTCGGGATCCCCTAACCCAACGACACATTCTACTCCTTTTTCTCTTAGCCTCCTTCTTCGACTGCTTTTCCCTTACCCTCTTGGCTTCGCCGAAGAAAAAAGGCTAAGGGATGTTTACTTGGGGAAATGAAAAAGTTTCGAGACCAACGGAACAACTGACGCATCGCATTGGCAGCATATTGTAACAGTCTTGACTACTTTATTGGCATTTTTTGTTTTACTTATCCCCCTTTCCTTGGAATTTTAACCATCGATCGATAGTCATTAATGAATTTTAGCCATTATAATTATAATTCCTTAAAAAGCTACCTGACTTTTTTTCTTTCTAAATCAACCCCTATTGACACTGTAACTTGGTCTCATTGTATTATCCCATCTATCGCAGAACGTTTCTCTCCACGGTAATGGTCCTCGTCGTTGGTCCTCTACGTGACAGTAGACACCAATCCAGAAGGGGTTGTGACTCGGATGGCATATAAAGGGTACCTCGACGTAATTAATCTTCTGTATGACACCGGGGCTGGTACCCAGAGCGCCGTTGAGTTGCCGGGAGCCAGAACACAACATCCCACTTAACGAACCCCCTGCGAAAACAATTAATACGAAATTGATTAATAATTACAGCTTAATTTCGTTCCATTGTCGGTTAACGACAGGTGTGTGCACGGGGGCCCTAAGTTAAATAAACGCAAAACCGTATAAAGCGTATTCAGTGTAAAGTGGGTTAAAATGCATTGACCGCGATTGGTCATGGGAAATTTTTTGTTGTTGTTTTTGCTTTTGTCAATTTTCAATAAAGCCAACAGTGACACAAATCATGGATACACTTTAAACGCCTGGAAAACAGTACACGGGGAGGAATGGATTCTCGTGTTTATCACGGCTGTAAAAGTGTGAGCCGAATTGATTAATCCGTGAAGCGTACTTCTGGGACCACCGCGAACTCGTGGCATTTATTGTACGGCATTGAAAATAAACAGTCGATTTGGCATTACTTTTCCAGACAGACAGACTTTATTGATCTGCCATGCGAGCCGGCGGAACTGTACGCCCCATAAAGCTAACCAATGCTAATACCTCGCATCTCCGCATTGGCGTCGCGCGATACAGTCGTGTCTCGTGCCAGGAGACGGAGCACTCCTGGCTACAATAAAAATACGTGGGGACTCCTCTGGCCTGGACCGGAATCTGCAATAAACGCGTAACCGAGCCTAATTCGTAATGTTGGCCGAGTCATTGTGAACCATTGTCAAACTCCCCGGTTTCTGCCCTTCGCGCTCGTAATGCTGGGGTTATCGCAGGAAACTGCCAGTAACGCTGTCGTAAGAGGCGACGCGGTACTTTTAAAATGTATTATGCGAATACCGATTAGAGATTATGGTAAGCGCGGCGTCCATTTTAGTTCGAACTATAGCGCAGCGCCGCCGGCGGCGTATCGGTGAATTACTTTACTTAGCCATTGTTGTTAACGCGGTATATATTATGAAAACTTCTTTTCTTTTTTTCTCTTCGTATATTTCTCCTATTCGTTCTCGTACTCGCTTTCTTTTTCTTTTTATTCTATGACTAAAATATTTCGTCCTTCTGAGAATGATTCACGAGATACGAGGAGAGAGTTTTGGGCCATTGATAAGAATCGAACAGAATTCAGTTGTCGGATATGCTTTGCCGAGGGTCGAAAAAAGTTTTGCCTTCTTCTCTAGTTGCCTTTTTTTTTCTTTACTAAGAAAAATAAATGTCACGGGTATCTACGATGTGCTTCCAGTCCTTAGCATATGAATACCCTGGTTCGCTCTCTTGTGAAATCTATTTTTTCCGGCGGGCTGTGCGCGCGCAACCGATTCGAAAAGTGCCGACTACTGAATTAAAGGACTATAAATGTGTGTATATGTATATATATATATTGAATAAATAGGGGAGTATACGTATGTTATTTATATACTTATACAGCGACGTATATATACGTATATAGTAATACAGGGAATCGTCGGACATTACTTTCAAATTTGTCCGGCGTCAGGACACGTGTTCCCTCTTTTCCCGATTTTCGGGGAACCCCCTATTTCGGACCGCGTCGGAGGAAGTAAATTTGTGAATGCAACCGACGGTGAACACAATGCTCACATTAGATACTACATTAAACACAAGCGGGAACGATCGCGACACGAGCGCAGGAACTTTTACTCGGACATGGCGTATCCGCAATTGCAGCCCTCATGAAAATACCAAAAATCCAAATAAAATCGCGTACAACATAGAAGCATATGAAAAATTGGTTCCAATAAAAAAAAAAAAAAAACAAAGAAACAAGACCAAAGTAAACAATAAAGAGTATGTAAAAAGAAAAAGGGTCAAAGTTCATTCCCGTAAAACGAATGACGTAGTGCCGAAGGCTCGTAACCGAACGAGTCGCAATTAACCGTTCGTAGTCGGACAAGAGAAAATGGAAGTTGCGAGTCGGCGGCATTATGCAAAGCAGATTTTAAATTTAGATGTAGCCCACCGTGGTCGTGTATCTATAATATACATAGGTAGCCATAAGGGTAGTGAGAGCTGGAATATGGGGTAGGGATTATATATATATATATATATTTATTTACATACATACATGTATTACGTATCTGCATTATCTACTACTTCGTACGAGAACACTCGTACACGTACTTACTTTTGGAGGGAGTTTTTGAGGTTGTGTCAGAAGGGGATGACTGGGGAGGTGGCTGCTGAGTGTAGTCCATACCGGTTCGTATAGGTGGGCGAGCCGTGCTCAACAAATTAGCACGTTTTAAATCCAATCCGAGTTGAAAGGGGGCTGCTTTGCATTTCTCGCGTACTGCCAACATTTGAGGTGTAAAATATTAAATCCCTGGCGCCTCTGCTGTCCCTCCCAGCCGTACCAGTCGGTCCCGTCTGCCGTCGACGTCGCGCACTCTGCGCGAGTTTACATTTAAATGTAAAAGTGCCGAGTTGGAAAGCTGCTGTTTTGCATTCGAAAGCTCATGATTGCCTCTGAGCTTTGCTTTTGACGGTAGCTACACCTAGCGGCAGAAGAAAGTACCGAGGGAACCTCGGTCGCTCGCGTGAGAACGAACCTTACAAACGGAATCGAGCATTATACTCTCTTCGCTGCTGGAAATACAATTTTTATATCGAGTACTTTTTTGATAGACGATAATAATAATAATATTCATCAGCGTATTTTCAGATTGGAATACAACCTATGAATATTCGATATATAGATGGCATTGTCGTACGTATACATAAGAACCACGTAAGGGGTCGTTCATAACCTGAGCAATGGACACTCCCAGGGCACAATTTATATCCAAGCTTTAATCAATTCCGCTATGGTGGATTATATTGTGTCAAATGTGTGTGTGTATACATATATATATATATATATATATATATATATATATATATTTCTTATTTTTCTAATATGTGTTTTTCTTATAAGCGCGGTAAAGGGCTCTCGGCAATTTTCTATGATAGATCGAGCTCGCAGACAAGTTCCATTACTGGCTTCTGAATTATTGAACTGGCAATTTCCAACGCGACACGTGAAACCCTGCATCAATGTGTCAACGGGCTCATTAGGCCCTCGAAATCAGGTGGACTAACGTAGTAACAACGGCAACGACTCTCTCCGTAAACACTAGTTTAGCTGTAGGTTATTTCCATATATAGTAGTATTGTTTAGTTTCCATGATTACAATGGCTTTGTGGATCTTGGTAATCGATTATTATTGATTTCACATATTTTCATCACTTTACTCGCTATGCGAGTAAATACGTATATAATGACCAACGGTAATACCAGGCATATGGTTTGGCTAATGATACCTACTTTTTCTTGTATATCTTCTACGTACAATTTCTTATGAGTTTATTACCTTATACTTTAGCAGGGAAATTAATTATTAATTATACCGTGTAATTAATGATTAATAAAAAAATAATTGGGTTGTGTGCTCTGTTATGGGGATAAATTATTTTTTGGGGTAACTGTATCTGTGTACATAGAATATCGGTATGGCATCATCTTTTTTGGATATTTTATACTCGTAAAATTATATTTTTAAAGCAGGGGTTTATATGGCGTTTAAAATTTGGAATCTGAGGAATTCCAAAAAATTTTTGAATTGAAAAAAAATAAAGGCCTGTCGATTAGATTTTTGGCAAATGGCAGGTAAACAAAAAAGATGAATCACTTTTGAAAAGAGCCGATAGACAAGGGGTGATTTTGTACGTGTCCCTGTACTTAAAAGAGATTTAAAAATTTTTCTAAACGTTTCAATATCTAACACGGCCCTGGTAAGGGCGCACCACTTTTCGCGGTCGGCATAAAAAGGCCATTTGCATTTCATACGGATCGAGAAGCAGATCATCGCGCGAGATAAGCGCTTATCTCTGATCCCTTGAAATAGGACCTGTTACTACAAACTACTCCGCATACCTATCTGATAAATCGGCCGAGAGGGAGTAAAGAGCCGATCGCTATCAGCTCGCCCTTTTGGTCCATATGCCGGGCTAATAAGAGCCCTAATAACGGAAGCCCACCCTATATTCGGGGGCGAGTAAGGGCTGTCACTAAATATTTTTCTTCTCCAACGGCCGCACTGGGAATTCATTTTGGGTTGCAGGGCGTCAACTATACATATGTCGTTGTTGTTCTTGATAAAGTTAGACAACTATGGACCACCCTGTATATGGGTCATTCAGTAGTATATACAAATAAACTTACTGTGATAATTCATATATATATATATTTTTTTGTTCAAAGAATCTTTGATTTTACTTCATTCGCGAAAATTCGTTAGATAATAACTGAGCGTAGCAGTAATATAACGTACGACTTTGTAATTACAAACGTATAATATTAATATTTCCCTGTAATTTATTCAGTCGGGCGTTAAAGTTTCATGCAAGTCGTGCCCATAAAATGCGTGGGTGTTCTCGAGAATGAAAGGACGGATAAATAGGGAGTGGTGAAGGAGTGTGAGAGAGAGAGAGAGAGAGAGAGAGAGAGAGAGAGAGAGAGAGAATCGTAAAAGAGACGAAGAGAATAGAGTGGAATAGCACAGTGAAAGAGAGGAGAGGAGAGGAGAGAAAGAGGGTTTAGAAGAGCCGACAACACTCACTTCGTCGTGCGGCAGAAAATTATGCAGATGGCGGAGAAAAGCTTTGATAAACACGACAGTCTCTGATCGTTATGCAGATCCGCGCCACTGTAAAATGGCGGCAATCTCATCCCTCTCTTTAGCCTCACTAATACCCTCCCCCTTCTTGTGCGTCTCTCTCGCACTTTTATCATCCACCGCTTCTCCTGTATCTCCGATTCTCTTGCACCCGTCGTGTCTGCCACTGGATCCCTGGGTGTTTCAGATTCTTACCCTCCTCGTCCTGCCAGACCCTCGTTCCGCGTTGATTTTCACACCCCGGGCTCTCGCGGCGAGATATATCATCCCTGTGTCGGGGGTGGAAGTTAACACGTTGCGCATGCGTTACGTACCCTGGATATTCTGCAATCTCATTGGAAGTTCCCACTATCGTTTTAAGATACGAACAACCCTCCATGCGGCGTATGGTACTGTGGAGGAGTAAAGCTTAAGCAAATCAGAAGCGTCCATATTTTCGTATACTTTCATTCCCTGTCACAGTGTGCCCTTACCTTGGTACGCTTAAATTTCGGTATTTTCTGGAAAGTTTCGTCCACAGGCCGGTATTTATGTAGGTATCTGCTGGTCACGTTATTTTCCCCAGCGTAATAAAGGACGTATATACCGTGACACAGGTGTTACAGAATCATCACCCCATGATGATGTTTTGTACTATTTTTTCGAACAGCTGTAAACTGTCTGCTCGCACCGCAATGAAGTTTCCTACGCGTCTGCTAGATGGAAGGGCTAGTCAGCGCCACCTACCGGTAAACTTTCGAACTAGTAATACTTTGCTCGTCTTCTACATTATTCATTGCAAGTGTATACGGAAAGTGAGAATTTTACAAAGGCGAATTGGCTGTATTTAAAGGTCCGAGTTACCTTTCCAAGGAATCGTAGAATATCTTAACGCCTTTGATAATTGGCCGGAATATATGATTTTGTCGACGTACCTCGAGGCGCGTGGTTCGGGCTCGTTACATGTGTAGAAATACTTTTATTATACGAGGATATTTCTTTTATTGTGTCTTTCGGACGTCCCGACTTAATTGAGATCCTGGAAGCGATTTACCTCGTGTGTATATGGCTGATCTCGAGATATTCGACATAAATACGACTACGGTCGGTTGCGCAAACACTTGCTAAACGATCTTTTCCAAGAACGCCGAATTTTTACATGAGAATCGTTTAAGGTTAACTACTGTTATTATCGTGAATGTGTCTTGTGATTTTTATTTAAGCACAATAAAAATAGTGACTTACATTTTTTTTATCAGCCTGAAACAAGTTTATATTGTCGTCACACTCCAATCAAACATTGCCAATACACACGTGCGTCCATCCACGACGTCGTCGTCGTCGTTTCACAAAGTTGGAGCGACAGTTCGGTTCTAGAAACGCAAAATTAGCCAGACGTTTTAGCTATCACAAAGACACAATAGAATTCGTTGTTTCCGGAATGTGGCATGTGGCTGGTAAGACGTTTATTTATTTTTTTTTCTAATCTTCGTGTCTGTCTTTACCTAGTTCCTTTTTTTCTCTTTTTTCATATTTTGTGTCACTTTACCAACACAACGTTCATTTTGTAACGGCGGATATCGCAGACAGTTTAATGCCACGCTGCCGTCACGCGTGCACGATTGTGAACGATACCTTAAGTCCCTGACAATATTTTCTCTGTATAATTTTTTAAAACAATATTTATTTTACCTTATGAAATTTTTTGTTTCTATAAAAAATCTTATGCTTTACTTTTTGCATGTTTCACTCGAAAAACTTGTTATTTGTTAAACGTAACGATTTACAGGAAGACTCGATGATTTTCCGAAACAACGAATTTCCATACGAGGAGTACCTGCTCTCCGGTTCTAAGTGGTCGCCATTTGATGACGGTTATTACCATGATGCGCTGTTTCCTGCGACCGTGAGTACCGTCCGCCCACGCATGCGTGTGTCACATATATAAAGAAAATGATAATGCATCAGTAACTAACACCCAAATATGTATTTGTATTCTATCTAGCCGTGCGTTTCCTTATTATATAATATACTCGTTTACACAGAATATTATTGTCCGCAAATACATCATTACTGTCGGAAACCATCGAGCCATTACGAGCGCCTTGCGTGATGCGCAAAGAAGATTTTTCAGTCGTAATTTCGAGCCTGTTGAATCTCATCGGAATGTGGGAATGAGAAAAAATAAAAATTTCACACAGTGAAAGGTAAGCAAAAATATAATTTTTAATCTGATCATTCATCATACTTATATATTGTCTATAAATATGACGTCGATGAATGCACCTGACGCAGTTACTCAAATTCTCGGCAGTTTTCAGTAATCTGACTGCGGCGTCCATCCATGGCTGAGACAGGTACAGGTCGTTCCTGGAGCATCACGGAGGCTGTAGGTAATAATATAATTCGATTGGAGGAACGAGCAAGCGAGTGAGCGAACGAGCGAGCCAATAAGAGGCTCCCTTTAATCGGGTTACTTCGTTACTGCGTTACTCCGTTACTCTCCGAGGTGATATCAGCGGAATATCAATTATAGTGATTAACCAAGACGCCGAGGTTGGGTGCAAACTTCTGGAATCCCTTGAGGACCGAGAGTGAGCGAACGGAAGGTGGAAATTGGCGAATGAGTGAGAAGGACGGAAGAAAAGTTGTAAGAAAGCCTATAAACATAGAGAAAGAGTGAGAGAGAAGAGACGATCGAGTGGTACGAGAAGGGTATGGAGGTACAAAGAGAGAATAAGGAAGATAAGGATAGAAAGTAAAAAGACGAAGAGAATCGAGAGCGAAAAACATCTTTTGTCTGTCGCAAATTAGCGACGGATATTCAAATAGTCTCTGTTGCCGCCAAGAATTTCAATGACTTCAAAGGTGTCGGCGTCAGTGAAAAAAAGAAATAGGATTTTCGTGCAACAAAGAAAATCGCGTAAATTTTAATCAATGGCGACGAATAGAATTCGCGACGATTTTGATGTGATTTTTATTTTTGAAAATTTTTGAAATCACACCAAAAGGGTTCCCGCCAATTTGTTACGGTCACGTGACTCCATTTTCTATTAGCCCTCGGGGCCTTCTTCGTTCTATTATAATGCGAAATCGGATGCCTCGGGGCCTTAAGGCCACCTAGTGTCCCCATAGCTGCTCCAGCTGTCCATCCACGAGCATTGTGCCCAATTAAGGTTAACCAACCGTAAACGCTCAGAGTCTAATTGACAAATTCAATTTGATCACGACAATACCTACGCCCAATGATTATCGTTCCAATGACGATCGTCAATTCGGAGCTTTCCAAAAATTATCCAAAAATCCGTCTTATACCTACAGAATTCGCCACGGACGTCGATTATACCATATAAAATCACTGTATGATATTACCAACCGGGTATACGAAGTATAGGAAATGATTATCCTTTGAATAAACCAGTAGACCCACAATAACGAAAATGATGGTTACACCAATAATATGATATTTATATATGTATTTCCATAAAAAAAGAAAGCCCCATGTATGTACTCCTTTTCACCCCCCATCCCTCGTCCCTTCATCACAGGACTGAAACGTATTAGGGATGAATTATCGTAGAATCAAAATAATTCGATAGACGGGGTGACGCGCGTATTACAAGAGGGCTGAGCCTGTCGTCTCTTGGTATATACGTATAGGGGTTGCTAAAAACATCCCCCTGCGATACGGCAAACTATTGTCCAAGGATTAGCAACGACTCTCCGCGAAAAGATAATTTCAAATCCATGAAAAACCGCGTACGCCGTTTTCACACTACAAAAATCCTACGTCGTACATGTGGCGCGAGATACGGGCATGAAAAAAATCACGAAGTTCAATCGAGAAGGGAAACTCAGCGGTAACGGACAGAACTTCGCCAGCTCGATCCAATCGTATTTATTCGTTCGAGCTAATTCCTTGGGCGTGTACACGGCTTTATTAAGTCAGTCAAAGTAACGGCCTTTGGGCAAATTGACGCTGTGGTTTGGAAAAAGGAACACGGAGCCATGACAGGGTGGCTCCTACGTCATATATACATCGACTATACTAATACACCAAACGCACTCTAATAAAGTATCAAGGGTAGTCTAATACGCGAATTCCCACTCGATGCTTCGCACTAAGGGTTGGCAACTATTTGAACGACGTCTGGGAGAGCATTTGCATGGTGCCATCACGACAATTAGGAAGGCTTAGTGTCCATGCATCTAACACAACGTGTATACTAAGCATACCATAATATACATACATAGTACCAGTAGAGACCTCTGGGATGACGAGCACTCAGAATGCAGAAAGGCAAGCGTGGCGTGTCAAGGGTCCCCGTCAGGTGGTCGGTTTAAATCGCACAATGGCTCAATTCGGGATGAAAATCCGTCATCTAAATCTCCATTCGAATGCGATCCCCAGATCCGGGCACGTACGTCAAATGGCCCCTAAGTAGCTACTTAGTTGCACATTTGGCTTAAATTCTCGAGGTCCTTTTCACATCTCCCTTCTCTGTACATTATATACATATATCGTGGATCCCCGACACTTATGACCATATACGGAAGGAAAAAATGTGCATATACGATGAAGTAAACCAGCAGCGATGTTAACGCAGTCACTTATCAAGATATCGTCATCCAGTTACGTATGTGCCTAGGGTGGTAGTTGGCAGCAATGCTAATCCATTACAAATTTCATAGCCCTTATGTTGCGGCCTTATTGTATTACAGGAACCCTTGTACCTAGTTTACCCTCTATCTAGTCCATCTACGTTATTTAATATTTTTAGCCTACGTAAGTAAGATACACTATACCGTGAGTAGGGTTAGGTACCGTGTATCAGTAAAAAATTAATTGTACTGTGAGTTACTGTAAAATTGTCATGATCGATGTTATTTGTTGTGCTAGGGTTTTTATTTAGACTGACTACATGTGCTCGCGTACCTCGATCGTGGGTATAATTATGTACGTAGACCCGACGTGAATTAGTTTTAATTGACCCGAACAAACTTATCCCTTCTCGCGTATTAAGGTCGAAGTTAGGCACGGAGGTTAGGCTTTACAGAGGCAGAGCAGGTAAGGTATACACGTAATACGTGACACGGTTGGTAAACCTGAAGCTGGCTTTGTTAAGCTTGGATTCTGAGTGCCTTTGATACGTGTACTTGCACGCTAACTAACCAACCTAAGCTATCTCGTTGTAATAGTCTGTGTCTGGTTGTTACGTATATATATATATATATATATATAGGAATCTTGAAACAATGTATATGTATACAGTATGTATGCGTTGTATATTCTTCGGGATCTGTTATATACATATGAGTGCGAATATAACCTACACGCTCGCTAGGAATCTTGAAACAATGTATATGTATAGTGCCTTTGATACGTGTACTTGCACGCTAACTAACCAACCTAAGCTATCTCGTTGTAATAGTCTGTGTCTGGTTGTTACGTATATATATATATATATATATAGGAATCTTGAAACAATGTATATGTATACAGTATGTATGCGTTGTATATTCTTCGGGATCTGTTATATACATATGAGTGCGAATATAACCTACACGCTCGCGATACATTTCCAACTGGGAATTGAATTTCCGTGGTAATTTTAATGCCATTTGTAGTTCCAGGATCCCGAGACAGAGGGTGACTCACGTACAGTGCACGAGGACGAAACTGTCAAAATCACGAGCTTCTACTTGAGGTCGATTTCAGTCTTGGAGAATTGAATGTTGCAGAAAGGATATTGGCAGGATGTTGAAAAGATCGTTACAGGGGTTCAAGGATGGCAAGAGAAGGTCTGAGGTTGGTTTTTTTAAATTATTATTTAAGATTAGCAGTTAAAAGCATTTTTGTATCAGAAAATAGTTAGGTTAGGTTAATATTTTAAGAATTTGTTAACGTGGACGACGAGAGTGTTTTTATTGTTCATTTTTTTGAGCCCGTGTCGTAACTCACTGTGGGTACACTGGTATTTTTTTGTTGAGTGGGGGACGGGGCGGCGATAGGGCTTTATTTCCGGTGCTTTAAATAAAGCCGGAAAGCTGCGGGATACAAAGCCAAAGCGCCATAACCACTTAGGAGCTTTCGCGTAGAACTTGGATGGCGAACGCCTCCGCGTATGAAGTAAGCGGCTTTCGTTCTTGGAGTGCCCAACGTTATATCTTTATAAATGGAACCACTCGGCCCTGTATAGGATGGATCTGAGCCATATCGCTCAGAGGATTTGCAAAATTATGCTTTTGTTGGACGTGAAGGAGTCGACGCGATGCCGTGGATTTTTCCTATAAGAATTGAGGAGCTGTGGTTAGTACGGTTGGTCAATTTTAGTTGCATTTGTAGGAAGTAATGTATTGTCCAGCATTATGAAATATCGTAATGTGCTTCGCGTTGTATCCTATTGACGGAGAATTCGTACAGTGACATTCAACTTTGATATTTGCCTTGTGGCTTTGAAAAAAAAATGATGGAGAGCTTGACATTTCTTTAATCACGATGCATAAATTGTTCAATTTACATTGCAAGGTACACCGTTATGTCGATATACTGACGATCATTATTCGATATTTCGTGATATATATACACATGAATAATTTTTGTTTGATATTTTGATTTGTGGAGATCAAGAGTGACTACTGCTATCTTCTTATATTTGAAGGAACTTTATATCTTAATGTAGATATAATAGATAACGGATTCATGTAAACATGTTGGTAAATATTGACTGTTGATCAATACCGGTGGTCGGTAGTACAGGAATTATTATAATCAATAAATCACAAGAATCAGGTCAGTTTCCACATAGATTTCCCCATCTGCATTCTCATTTTTACTTTTTGGTGCATGTATAAGACACAGATCAATAGGGAGATGCACAATGCTACGGTTTTAGGCGATACCAAAAGCATGGCGCTAAATCGTAGCGGCGAGTCTGGAAGTAGGATTTTATGATTATCGCCTCCGTCGACAATGCGAATCCCGTCGTACCCAAGCTAAACGTGAACACCAACGACTAGCTTGGCGGGCAGAGGTTCTCCGCTATCTCATTGCTGGCTCCAAAGTAATCCTTAGAACGAGACTGGAAACTATAGCACTTCTCAAGAATTATTGAAAAAACTTATTGGTGAAACATTTCAAAGATATTTTTAAGAAAGTGCAGTGCCAACTTGACACCCGTGTAGTATATACTATTGGGTCTTAATTTACTTTCAAAATTTATTAAAATTTAAAAATTGAGGCTAAATTAAAATCTCGCAGAATATACGGAGTAGATAAAAATGGAATTGAAATTGTAGATTGTTGAAAATAAATTACGTTCAAATTGAAATATTAATCAATTAGGTGTTAGGAACATTAAAATAATGAATTAAATCAATAAAGTAAAATATTATCACTTAGAAATCGGAAACTCTGGCCAAGCATATTTAGAAGTACTGGAAGATGGCCAAAATTGTGTGCGCGCAAATTCGTCGCGCAGGACTCGGCGAGTGGGAGCAGGCGGATGGTGGGGGCGCTCGAGGCAGTGCCCGGACTCCGAGCGCTCATTCTTCCTCGAGCCGGTCTCCTATACTGGTCTCTTGGAATCATTTCGAGCCTTCCTTTATTTTTATATTTATTTCTTCTTTACTTCCTTATTTCTTTATCTTCCATTCTTCACTTTCTTATCTATCTCTTTCCCCATTTCTTCTCCACTTTTATAACTCTATTCCTTACTTTTCTACTTCATCACTTTTTTATTTCTATCTTCATTTCTTCCTTCTCGTTTCGCTTTGTTCCCTCTCACTTTCCATTGTGTTTGTCTTACTTTTCCTATTCCTTTGGTCGGGTCGAGCATATTAATTCAAGTAGTCATATAAGAGTAGTCATCCGGTTAGTGCAGCTAGACTTAAGACCATGGTGTCGGGGGTTGCCCTTCCGCCTCCT